CCGGACAACGAAGACCTGGACACGTTGCTTCAGAGCGAAATCGACACTTCATCGTATTTGCACATGCGTGCGTCGTGGAAGCTAAGCAAGCCGAACCTTTTCGGGCCTGACGTTTCGCTAGGAGAGGACGTAGTTCACGTGCTGGTGGTGGTTCCAGAGGGTGCTGTTGGTTCAGCATTATTGCAGCCAGCGAATAGCGCTACAATTCAAAATATCGCCTGGTATGGCACGCGTGGATCGATTGTGGAAGGAGAAGGCGTTGATCTGAAAGATCCACGAACACTTTCTCGAGCCATTCTCACCGCGGATATCCTCCGCCGACTCGAAGAAACGCATGTCCTGCTGGTGACAAGCCCACCAATGACTGGGAAAACGTCACTAGCGACACTTGTGAGCCGATCGTTGGTGGATAGGCATATTATGGACAATAAGAAGATGACTCTGTTCAACTTCTCCGCCTTGGCCATACCCGACGATTCGACATTTGAGCAAGTTTTCAAGAAGCGTTGTACGATCGACTGGAGCGAAGCAACTTTAAATCTTCCCACGCCAGATCGTATGGTGTATTTGGTGGTGGACGAAGTACAAGTGATCTACAAAGAAGGAACAAATCCTCCGAGACGCAAATCCACTGTTTTTTGGGAGCTGGTCAAGTACGTTCTCAGCAACGGGAACTACAGCATCAGAATATTGATGTTTGCAGCGTATGGATCTGGTGTGGAGTACACGCGACTCGCTACTCCAATACAGTTCGACGATAGGATTGTGTTGGGCATCGACCAGCTGAAATTTAGTCATGCCGAAGTCTCTGAGTACGTCCAAAAGTGGTTTAAGGGTATCACGTGCTTTGAAGGATCATCGTCATCTGCGATGAAGGATTTCTGTGCCAATTTGGAAGAGGTGACGGGTAGGCACGTTGGTCTGTGTGCGACTACCATCTTTGAACTGAATAGAGTCCATGCCTCACGTAATAGGAGTGCGAGTCGTCAACCATTGCCAGCCGAGTGGATCCGCATGCTGCAAAGTGGGTCACTGTATGAAGCCAACGATAAAGCGCTGTTTAAAGCGCTGACATCAACACGCGCTGTGAAGGTGTTAAATACCCTTGACAAGGACGAGCTGGATCGGCTAGAACGCATTGCTTATGGTGCCAACTCTGATTTTGATACTGATATAGTTGAGCAATGTCTTCGAAAGGGCATTCTTGTTCAAACTGAGCGGCGTTTTGAGTTCTCGTCACCAGTGATGTGGCGATTCTTTGTCAAGATGCGCGTTGGTCACATCGTCCGAGCACTTCATGTCCCCAAAACCCTTCCAGAGATGGTCGCTCGAGTGATGCGATCGATCGATTATGATAGCATCCGCCAGACGCTTGGCAGAAGTTTGTCGAGCGATATTCCTCTGGAAAGAGCGTGGCAAATGGAATTTTACAAGGCTGCGTATCGCTGCACACCAAGCACTTTCGTGACGTCTGCGGATGTGGGTGCGTTGTTTGGATCCAGTGGGTTCGTCGATTTTACAATTCATGGAGGTGACATCTTTTGGGGCATCGAGTTGTTGCGAGAAGCCAGCAACTTGGCTGAACACATCAAACGATTTTCCCCTGGTGGTCGCTATTCCTCGCTCCCGTTGACCGAGTTCTGTCTGGTTGACTTTAGACGTGTTGCTTCGATTGACGATGTGCCGATTGAACGTATAGCGGAAAATATGCGCGACTGCGACAAGCTCTTCGTCGTGTGTTATGACGCACGGATGGCAGGTGTTATGGTGATTAATTCCGCAATGGATGTCGTCTACAGGACTCAATCTTAAAAAAGTTTTGTGATCTTGCCAATTTGGTTGTTGCATTTGAAAACTTGATGCCATTGATGAAGAAAATAAGGTGAACTTTTTGAGGTCTACCGCATCGATTAATTTTTCATTCTAACAAATATAAAGTTAGTAATATACTTAGATGGCGTACTCACCTGAATAATAGAGCGCATCAAAGCAGCTCAGAAGCGTTATTACCAACGTACACGCGAATTTATCAAAAAGGGTACGACGATAAAAATAGAGATCAAATTCGAGAGCGCAAAACGCAGTTCAAAAATCGAACTTAAACAGCACAAATCGAACTTAGTGATAATAAACGAACTTAAATAATTATTTTTTTATTTTTGATATAAAGTCAACCCTAATATATAAAGTCGATCCTGACACATAAAGGTTCGCGGTAGGACCGGTAAGATGGTCTATGTCAGCAACTTATCGCGTCCTAGCAACTTAAAGCTTGTAGCAAAGCAATACAAGGTCAGTCTTAATGATTTGGAGAAGAACTTGTCTTCAGACTATAAGGCTGACCCACACTATCGCTTTTACAAGGGCAACCACATGGAATCTCACCTTTACGAAGGAATCCATCGTAGTGAGTTCTATGACAAGCTTGAAAATGTTCTAGAGAGCCAGCAAAGTGCCTATAAGGTAAATATTGCTCTCGGATATGACCTTGTTAGCAAAACTGATGATTCTGATACGAGAT